ACGAATCTTCCATGGCTGCAAATACGATCAAAAGAGGCGAGTTTCTTAGAGACGGTGTAAATCACAAACCTTTAGTCTCTCCAAAAAAGACATTCGAGCTCGGTTTCTTCAGTCCTGGAGACTCAACGCGTCGTTATCTAGGGATTTGGTACGGGAACATCGATGATAAAGCTGTTGTATGGGTCGCAAACAGAGCAAATCCGATTTCAGACAAATCTGGAGTTCTTACAATAAGCAACGACGGGAATCTCGTATTGTTAGACGGCAAGAACATCACTGTCTGGTCTTCAGACATCATCAAATCGAGCATTAGCAACAACAACAGAGTCGTAGCTATACACGATACAGGGAACTTCGAGTTGTCTGAAGCCGATACAAAGAGAGTTCTTTGGGAGAGTTTTAATCACCCAACAGATACTTTTTTGCCTCAGATGAGAGTTCGTGTGAATCCACAAACCGGAGATAATCTAGCTTTTGTCTCTTGGAGATCTGAAACCGATCCTTCTCCTGGTAATTTTACATTAGGTATTGATCCTACAGGAGCACCAGAGATTGTGCTTTGGGAAAGAAACAAGACGAGGAAATGGCGAAGCGGACAATGGAATTCCGCGGTTTTTACCGGGATTCCGAATATGTCTCTGTTAACGAACTATCTTTACGGTTTTAAGCTCTCTTCTCCTCCAGATGAAACAGGTAGCGTGTACTTCACGTATGTTCCTTCGGATTCTTCGATGTTGCTTAGGTTTAAGGTTCATTATAATGGAACTGAAGAGGAATTGAGGTGGAATGAGAGTTTGAAGAAGTGGACTAAGTTTCAATCTGAGCCAGATAGTGAGTGTGATATGTATAATCGTTGTGGGAAATTCGGTATCTGTGATATGAAAGGATCTAATGGAATCTGTAGCTGTGTTAAAGGTTATGAGGTGGTTTCTGTAGGGAATTGGAGTAGAGGTTGTAGACGAAGAACGCCTTTGAAGTGTGAGAGGAACATTAGTGTTGGAGAAGAAGATGAGTTCTTGACTCTTAAATCTGTGAAGTTGCCTGATTTCGAAACTCCTGAGCATAATCTTGTTGTTCCTGAGGATTGCAAAGCTAGATGTCTGAAGAATTGTTCTTGTAGTGCTTATACTTTTGTTGGTGGTATTGGTTGTATGATTTGGAATAAAGATTTAGTCGATTTACAGCAGTTTGAAGCTGGTGGATCTTCGCTTCATATCCGTCTTGCTGGTTCCGAGATAGGTGAGAAAAAGAAATCCAAGATCGCGGTGATTGTCGCGGTTGTAGTAGGTGTGGTTTTGTTGGGGATCTTTGCTCTGCTTCTATGGAGATTCAAGAGAAAGAAAGGTACAAAATCTCATCCTTTCTCAATTTCTAAAGTTTTGATATCAAAACATTAGAGCTTGTTGATTCACTTGGCTTTGTTACCTGCAGATGTTTCAGGAACATATTGTTGTAAGAACAATGATACATCGGTTGTTGTTGTTGATGTGACCAAGGCCAAAGAAACCAGTACTCCGTTTTCAGGATCAGTCGACATAATGATCGAAGGAAAAGCGGTAAACACATCCGAGTTACCTGTTTTCTGTCTGAATGCTATAGTGGCAGCTACTAATGATTTCTGCAAAGAGAATGAGCTTGGGAGAGGCGGATTCGGACCAGTCTACAAGGTTGGTTGATTACAGCGAAATCTAGACCGAGTCTTTATGTTTCAGATTCGTTATGTTTTTTTGTTGATGATTGAAATGTGTGTTTTCTTTTGGCCAGGGTGTTCTTGAAGATGGACAAGAGATAGCTGTGAAGAGATTGTCTGGTAAATCTGGTCAAGGAGTTGATGAATTCAAGAATGAAATCATTCTTATAGCGAAGCTTCAACACAGGAATCTTGTGAGATTACTTGGATGTTGCTTCGAAGGCGAAGAGAAAATGCTTGTATATGAGTATATGCCTAACAAAAGTTTAGATTTCTTCATCTTCGGTATGTTCTCTATTAAAGATTGAAAAAAAGAATTAAGTCTTTCCTTTCTTTCTTCTTATTCTTGTTCTTTTGAATGTACAGATGAAACGAAACAAGATTTGGTAGATTGGAAACTGCGGTTTGCGATAATTGAAGGGATTGCGAGAGGACTACTTTATCTTCATAGAGATTCAAGATTGAGAATTATTCATAGAGACTTGAAGGTTAGCAATGTGTTGTTAGATGCAGAGATGAATCCAAAGATCTCAGATTTTGGTATGGCGAGAATCTTTGGTGGTAACCAAAATGAAGCTAACACGGTTCGCGTGGTTGGAACTTAGTAAGTAAAAACATAATTCACAAAAGAACCATATCAAATGTGTTGATGACAAAAGGAATAATGTTATTGACACATTTGCTTTACTTCTTGTCTTTGCAAATTCAGCGGATACATGTCTCCAGAATACGCGATGGAAGGACTTTTCTCGGTGAAATCCGATGTTTACAGCTTCGGTGTCTTGTTGCTAGAGATCATAAGTGGGAAAAGGAACACAAGTCTTCGATCTTCTGAACATGGAAGTCTCATTGGTTATGTAAGTTCCCCAAAACAGAGCATTCCTTAAACTAGCATTTGAAATATAAGTTTGTTTTTCGGTTTATACAAATTTCATCGGTTTTCTTTTGTTTATATGGTCTAATGGTGGAAACTGAAACTGGTGCAGGCTTGGTATCTGTATACTCATGGGAGATCAGAGGAGCTTGTGGATCCAAAGATAAGGATAACGTGCAATAAGCGCGAGGCTTTGAGATGCATACACGTGGCGATGCTGTGTGTTCAAGATTCAGCTGCAGAGAGACCGAACATGGCTTCAGTTTTGTTGATGTTAGAGAGTGAGACAGCGACATTGGCAGTGCCAAGACAACCAACATTTACTTCAACAAGAAGAAACTCCATTGATGTTAACTTTGTTCTTGATTCGAGCCAACAATATCTTGTTTCTTCTAATGAGATTACTTCTACTGTTGTTCTTGGACGATAAATCATTCATTTTTTTGTTTTCTTCTTTCAAATTTGTAAAGTTTCTTATGATTATTGTGAAAAACGTATAGTTTTTGGACCTTTTGATGATTAGTTAGGATAATGGATTATTGGTTTGTTGAAATTAAGTTGACAAAAGTGAAATGGATGTATGGGTTTTAATTCTGATGTTAAACAATTTGACGAATATATATTTGTTCAAATGGGTTACGATAATTTTGATTTAAAAATGTGATTTGACTATATGTATAGTCTATACATAATTACTATTATCAAACGAGGTATGAAGATTCAGGAGGATGTTCAAGGTAGGGTCATGTATCAAACATAGTAAGGTTGAAAATGTGATATTATATGTATAGACTATAGTTATAACTTATAAATAATCAAACCTGGAAATGAAGAATCAAGACTTTTCAAGCGTTGACTTTGAGAGTCAGTCTTTAAACATTTATACTAGTGAGAATGTAAAAATGATCGAATGTTCAAGTCTTCTTACATGCTCTTGAAATTAAATAAATAACCGAAAAAGGTTTAATATAAAATTTCTTGTTGTAAAATTTTTGCTCTTTCTTAAAAAAAAAAAAACATTTTTGCTCTTGCTTTGTATTGAGCTTTTATATCACGATTTATTTATATTAGTTTATAAACTCGTCGACATAATATAGTATCAAACAAACAAAGTAAAAACATTTCCATTTGAAATAAACATTTTTCCAATCATATTTTATTTTCGATTCCAAAATAAAGTAAACATATGATTGTTCCAAATATGGAGTAAGTTTATTCATTACTCTATTTTTTATTCATCATTTTATTTTGGAGTAAAAAAATAGAATGGAACTAGAGTAAAATATAATTCTATTTTAAAACCAATAAATTAAAAAATAGAGTAATGAGTTAGAGATGTTCTTATTGATTTTTTTTTTGTAATTAATAATTCAAAACCATAAGTAAGTTTTTTTTTACTAATTATAATAAGGGTTTTTTTTTCCAAACATAATTATAAAAAGGTTAGAGAAAAGAAAAGTCAGAAAAACGTGGAACGACCCACTTCTTTTTCTTTTGTCTTCGAGGAATGCAGAAATAAATTAAAGTTGGAATTGTTTGGTTTTCTGACTTGAGTCGAAGATATATAGGGTCCCAAGATATATATTGGGAAAGAAATAAAAACTGAAAAAACAACGAGTTTTATATAACTCTCGTAACTTACACAATTTACAAACAAACGGTTGATCGAGATGGTTTTTTAGGAAACACAAAGAAAAGTCTTTTTTTTTGTGTGTGCTAAAAAGCACAAAGAAAAGCTAGTGTTTATTAAGAAATTCTAAAAAAAGACAAATAATTCTGAATTTATAGATAAAAATGATTTGTAGAGAAAAGAAAAAGAAAAACGAGTGACGACCTTTTATTTGCTAGGTCAACTCTGAATTCGACTATACATTATACGTGTACAAATTTCAAATACCAACAAGAAGACCGAGAACGTAAAGTCGAATAATCACGTGGGTTGCGTAAAATTGGTCCATTGGAAACATCTAAACAAAAACGAAACGTTATTAGCAAAAACATAAAAGAGGTTTAAAACAGGTACACTAAAACCATATTAGTAAAAATCAATGTTGGAAGTTGGAACACAACACTAATCCCATTCCCATACTTTTTTTTTGTTTTCACTGGAAATTTTTATTATTAAACATACAAAGTCGAATATAACACATAGTCCAAGAGTTTTACGGAGAGCATGGGGGAACAAAGCCCCAAATGACAACGGGATGCAAAGCCCGAAAGATTACCGAGAATCTAGAATCCCATACATAAGTGTTAAATAGTTTGACACAACATTAATCCCCTAATCAAATGTATAAGGGTTAAAATAGTTATATGAAAAAACTTGTTGTTCAAAGTCAGTTACGGTTTCAAACTATTTTTTTTTTTAATTACAGTTTCAAATAAAATGTGAGTTTTTGTTGTCTTTCCAAACTAATTTTTATAAGTCATGTTTTCACAATGTTTTTAAGCGTTTCCAAAAAAATCTGATTTCAAAACGTAGTTGAAAAGGAAAATAGGTTTTGGACGGAATTTTCATGTAATACAAATAATCGGTTAGTGATTTTGTCTTATTGAAAATTTTAATTAATGGTTCAGAACGGTAAATAAATATCCGCAAACATGAAATTATCTTATCTTTTACATTTGTTTATCCGTAAACGTTTAACGTGGCAATAATACTTTGATTGCTATGGAGCTTAGAGATTCGTTGAGATTCGGTTTAAGATAACCTCGATTAAGGGAAAAAACGGAAAAGGAAATATATTTGACAATAATATAAAATCCAGTTAATAAAGTTCACACATTTAGCACAAAACATAAACGATATCTCCAAAGATTAACATTCTAAAATATTTTTCTCTAGAAAGTAGGGGAAAAAGAGAAAGAAGAACACAAGAAAGTGGTGTAGAAAAATATGAGAGGTGTACCAAACTACCACCATTCTTACACCTTCTTCTTCTTTATGTTAACTCTGTTTCCTTCGTTCTCTATCTCTGCAAACTCTTTGTCGGCTACAGAATCTCTAACAATCTCAAGCAACCAAACCATTTTATCTCCTGATAATATCTTCGAGCTTGGTTTCTTCAAACCTTCTTCAAAATCTCGTTGGTATCTCGGGATTTGGTACAAGACAATCCCTAAGAGAACCTATGTATGGGTTGCAAACAGAGACTCTCCTCTCTCTAACCCCATAGGAACTCTCAAAATCTCCGACAACAACCTCGTCATTTTCGACCAATCTGATAAACCAGTTTGGTCGACGAATCTAACCAGAGGAGACGTGAGATATCCGGTGGTAGCAGAGCTTCTTGATAACGGTAACTTCGTGCTCAGAGACTCTAACAACAACAATCCAAATGTATTTTTGTGGCAGAGTTTCGATTTTCCGACAGATACTTTGCTACCGGAGATGAAACTAGGATGGGATCTCAAAACCGGATTCAACAGATTCTTGAGTTCTTGGAGTAGCCCTGATGATCCGTCAAGTGGCGATTTCTCGTTCAAACTCGAAACCAGAGGATTCCCTGAGGTTTTCCTATGGAACAGAGAGTCACGAGTGTACCGGAGCGGTCCATGGAACGGAATCCGGTTTAGTGGCGTACCGGAAATGAGACCATTTGATTACATGGTTTTCAATTTCACAACGAGTAATCAAGAAGTGACTTACTCATACCGCATCATCGAAACCAACATTTACTCGAGATTAAGCCTAAGCTCTAAAGGATCACTAGAAAGATTCACATGGATTGAGTCAGCTCAGGATTGGAACCAATTCTGGTTCGCACCAAAAGACCAATGTGATGACTACAACGAATGTGGGGTTTACGGTTATTGCGACTCGAACACTTCACCGGTTTGTAATTGTATTACAGGGTTTAAACCGAGGAATGAGCAAGCGTGGGGGTTAAGAGATGGTTCTGATGGTTGCGTGAGGAAGACGCAGCTGAGCTGCGACGGTCGAGATGGGTTTGTGAGGTTGACGAAGATGAAATTGCCCGATACTACGGGGGCTATTGTGGATAGGGGACTTGGTTTGAAAGAATGTGAAGACAAGTGTGTAAAGGATTGTAATTGTACCGCGTATGCGAATACGGATATTCGAAATGGCGGGTCGGGTTGTGTGATTTGGACCGGAGAGATTTTGGATATCCGGAACTATGCTAAAGGAGGTCAAGATCTTTACGTTAGATTGGCTGCTACTGATCTCGGTTAGTTCTTTCTACTTTAATTTTATTTTGTATGATTTGAATAAAATTGAATACCAAATTTGGAAAAAGGAATTGGAAATGATATATATATCTAGGACAATTTGTCATATAAAGCTGCAAGCGTTATTTCTTTCTTTTTTTTGAATTGTCAACGGATCTATGAGTCTATTTTCTCAACCTTTTGTAAACAGGTTGGTGGAGTCGAACGCTGGTGGACATAATTAGTATAATTTATCATATAAATAAA